ACTAAACACCTGTCCAGTGAAAGCAAATTGCAGTAAACGGAAAAATATTGTGTTAAAAGAAAGCTTAGATTAAAGTCCAACTTGCGTAACAAAGCCCTAGAGAGAGCAGTGCCTACAGTTAGCATAATCATAATCAGTATATAACAGTATAGTCTAAACAGCTGTCCTGTCCACCACCTGTCCAATGAAAGAAAATTATGGTAAATGATAAAAGATTGTGCTAAAAGAAAGCGCAAATAAGTAACAAAGTTTGTTGAGGATATAATCACTTTATCACTCTAAACATCTGTCCTGTCCAATGAAAGAAAATTATATGAAACAATAAAATATCTGTTAAAAGGAAGCTCAAATTAAAGTCTAACTTGAGTATCAAAGCCCCAGACACAGCAGTGCCTACAGTGAGCATCACAACGGATTGTATGAGTCAATAATATGAGTTTCTATTGATTGTGAAACAGCCTACGATGGACTAAATATATGTCCAATGAAAGAAAATTACGGTAAACGCAAAAAGATTGTGCTTAAAGAAAGTAACAAAGCCCCAGTCGGATCAGTCCCTCTGGTTAGCGTCGTAATGAGTCTCTAATATGAGTCTTTATCGCTCTAAACACCTGTCCTCTCCTCTAACTGTCTAATGAAACTAAATTACGGTAAACGCTAAAATAAGTTCCAGGATCGATTTCGTTTCGCCCCAAAGCTCTCCTGTCAATAATAATCGCAAAACAATCATTTCCATACGAGCTCGAGCTGCGGAGTTTGAAAACAGGGTGAAGTCCGTCGCCCGAGGACTTGTTGTTGTTAATGTTCTCGCTGAGCTCGGAGCAGAAGACTCAAAGGCTAAAAACCGCAGCTACGATACTCCTATACGCTCTACGTGTCTGCGTCTGTGAAGATGTGATGTCAAAAAGCACTTAACTCTCCTCGGTGGTGGAAGATATACTCCGTTTTGTTTGTAAACGTAAAGATAGCGGCGCGAAAAAGTCAAAGAAAATAAAAAATACTCGAGAAAAAGTAAAAGTATCTTATGAATCTACTGTATCTACTGTGCGTTTATTCAATTACAGGTGGTTTTATTGCTCAAAAATACCTAAAAAACAACAAAAAAAAGTATTCTGACTGTCGGCGGGGTTGCCTCTCCACAGATCTGACCTGTAACTATGTCTGGTTTGGAGACAGAAGGTTTAATGCCATATTATGAAACATTCCAGAAAAAAGCAATAACATCTCCATGGAGAAAAGAGTTGTTTTGTTGTTTTTTTATTCGTAGTCTTAATAATAATCTTAGTCAATTATCAACACAACAAATTAACCAATTAACACAAATAAAAACAATAATAATATTCAACGAAAATTACTACCAAAGATTAAACCACACTGACAAAAAAATTATAAAAAATATGGAGAAAAATATTTGATGGACCTTCCACCAGAAACGTTACACAATGCACCTTTAAGTAAGTATTAAAAAGTATTAAAGTACCTGTTTAATAATGTACTTAGAGGTGCACTATGTAACTTTTCTGTTGTGGGGTCAATTTCCAGCTTATCTCCATGGAAACGTTATTTATTTGCCTAAAATATTCCACAGTACGTCATTAAGACTTGTATCTATTTTCCATGTATTCAATTACAGCTGTTTTTATTGCTTAAAATAATGACAATAAATGCATTTGTATCGGAAGCGGGAGTCACCTCTCCACAGATCTGGCCTGTAACGTGGCCTGATGCTCGTCTCCGTGGAGATAAATACGTAAAATGTCAGAGGCCAGGCAAAGTAATAACAGAAAAGTCACACAATGCACCTTTAAAGAGTAAAAAGTCAAAAAGCTTAAAGTTGATTCAATTACAGGTGAGTTTAGCACTCAAAAACACCTAGAAAAAAATGGGGTCGCCTCTCCACAGATCTGACCTGTATCTTGCTCTGGTTTGGTCTCCATGAAAATAGACAGGTTTAATGCCATACTGTGGAACATTCCAGATAAAGCAATGACATCGCCATGAAGAAAAACGTTTGACAAACCCTCCACCAGAAACGTTACGCAATGAACCTTTACTGTCATACATGATGTTTTTAATTCCGAATTAACTGTTCTCTATTAAATAGTTCAAAATTCAAATATTCATCTTCGAGTTTACGTGGAAATAATAATTCCAAATTGAGGTGTACACGGAAAACACGTTAAATTGCCCTTTAATTCCGCTCAACGTCTTGGAGTTGTGAAGGGTTCTGATTGGACAGAAACGTATTTACGTCGACCGGAAGAAACCGCACACTTCAGCTGCTACCGGCATTTTCGTCATCTCGGTTTGTCGTTACGCCACCGACGCAAACACGACCCAAACTTTTTCCGCGGTCGTTCCGATGATAATTAAGCAGCGACTCGAGCATTCTGTCGTCACGCTTTACGTCTGTCGGCCGAGAAGGAGAAGGGAAGAGTGTCGGAAGAAAAAGCAAAGCGCGAACGTTTCCAGAAAACTTACACAGCTCACCTTTAAACATAGCGGCACTTTTACTTCGTTACGTTCTACTACTGATTCTCCTGCCTCGTAAAACAGGTAAGACGAGGGGATCAGTGCATGTATGTGCGTGGTTCTAGCTGATGGTAAACTAAAGCGATGCTAATGAGAACAAGATGGATGGAAGAATAATACAAGCAGATGCACTGATACGGGGTTACCGAGATTTAAAATGAAAACGAGAAAAGGGCAAAGCAGTTATACGTCTAAATCTGAATATATGTTTTGACATTTTTGCTCATGCAGACTGGCAGGCAGAGGCCCATCCTTTGAACTCTCTCTGTTATTGAGTTGTAATACGCTCGCCGCACTCAGGCTTTTACATTGCCTGAATCCTGCAATAATTTGTATCTTATTTTTCTTCGACCCCTTCCTGACCCCTGCGCTGTAATGTGCCTGAATAAACCTATACTCTTGTCTTTCTGAATGTTAAAGACATGAAAATGATTCTATAGTTGGTCTGATGAAACACATTTGACCAGAAGCTCCGTGCAGAAGTTGTATTTGAAAACATCTCGCGTATCTGTGAATTCTGATTTAACCATTCACTTTAAAACGTGCTGAAACGTGATGGGACAGTCGGTTTTCTCACACACAGCAGCAGAAAACTGGAACACGCTTCTAGCTGACCTTAAAAGTTGCATCAAGTCCCACACTTTGACCCCATTTACACTGAAATGAATCCGCGTATCACCGTATCAGCGTATCGGAAACAATCTGCGTCCAGACACGTCGTTTCTGTATCTGCAATCAAAGCCTTTCCTGTCCACACGGTAACGCAAAACCACCTGAAACGCTCGTCACGTCTTCACAACATCCCAACATCACGTGAGCGGTAAAAACAAGGAAGTCTGAAGATACAGTAGCTGATTTTGAGCCGAGGGAGATGGCGAGTGTAAAAACAGTCTTTTCGTGGACCGACGACGAGGTTCACTGGATTTTAAGACGAGCATGGCGGCTCAGAGTGACTCGTTTCTGTGTCCCTAAGTCTTCCCCATCCTCACAGCTTTGAGCATATTTGTTTACGTTTTACAGAAATGAAACTTAAAACCACATGGACAATTTTCATAAACTGAGCGCTGTCGGACTCAGTGGAATATGAGTGTTCTTTCTGTGACAGAGGGGTGTTCTGCTGATGGTGAGTCTGTTCTGTGTTTCTATCTTGTTGGAGATGATTCATGTGAAACTCTTCAGAGATTATGCATCTGTAGGTCATATACACAGACCAAATATATAAATGGACATATATTCTAGCCCATTGGTGGGCTAACAAACTACTAACTAAAGGCCCGGGTGGGAAAAAATGGACATTATTTATGCAAAAGTAGACTATTCTAGTGTCACCTAGGCTTCTATTCCTGCTTTTATTTTCTTTTATTAATTATCATTTCTTCTTCTCTTGTTAAGTTTATAAATTTATCATATCCAATAAAAATAAAGTGACCAGTGAAAAAAAAAAAAAAAACTAAAGGCCCGGGGGCTATATGCGTCCCTTTTTATTCCGGCCCGCCAAACTTGAATAATAATAATAAATAATAATAAATAAATAAATAATAATTCAGTGTTTTAAAAGTCATTTCAATAAATAGTAAATACCGTGGGACTTGAAAAACAGATATTTGGTTGTAATGCTTTGTGATGATTTTCAGTTATGGGATATTTCAATAACATGGGATATTTTTTTTCTCTTATGAGGCAGGTTACCAAAAAATCCCATCCATCTGCTCCCGGTCCAGCCCGTCCGTAAAATTTTAGAAACCTTTCTGGCCCTCGAGTCAAAAAGTTTGCTCACCTCTGTTCTAGCCTCTTAGTGTTTTGGTGGTGAATTACTTTATCACCTAAATCAGTGTATCAGCGTTTTCAGGCATCCACACGGTGCCGGATCAGATCTGTACTCAGATGAATTCGTGGGAGCTGGCGGCACCGGATCGTTCCGTCTCTGGAGTCGAATACAAACTCTTCAAGCCATTCAACCTACTTTGCCCTTACGCACAAAACCCAGACTGTTTTTTAATAGTAGTTTTAACCACTCATTTGACTAAAACACAATTGAAAATCATTATATTAAAGATTTTTCTAAAGATTTTATATTTTTTTCCTCCAGTTTGGCCATTTTTTAGGTTTTAAAGTTGACTTCGTGGTTGGAAATTGTGAAAAAACACTAGAAAATTCCACAACCATTTAGTATACTGGGCCAAAACTCCTCTAATGTATGCAAAAATTAATATTTGACTAATAAAATGATATGAAAGCACTTTTAATTTGTTGAAATCATGTTTAAAGTATCAGAAAAAAATGTGTTTCTTGTTTGGGACTTTCTAAAATCGAACCCTCTACTTCCTGTAATCTTGAACATATTTTTCAGCTTTTCTTTGCAAATTGGTTCTTATAATTTATATTTACAACAGGTATTATCCCACAAAATTAAGTCAAAATTCGAAAATGTTCAAACCCAGTCCCACGTCTCGATTCCCCAAACCCACCTGAGAGCTTGATGAGGAGTTCTGACGCCACCTTCACGCTGATGTCATGACTGAGCAGGTTGTTCTTGGACATGGGGCTGTCTTCTCGCGGTTTGAGGCTGCCCTGGCGCTCCGGGGTGGCGGTGGCACCCAGGGGCCCGTCCTGGCAGAAGGGGCTGGGAAACCCCGTCTGGACCTGGGACTGGGAGGCAGGTCTGGGGCTCAGGGCTTCCTCCACTTTGGGCTCCTCCTTCAGGTGGAATGGAGACTTCATGGACTCTCTCTGATTGGCCGCTAAAGAGGAAGACAGAGAAAATCATTTTTATTTAATTTTCTTATAACTGGGGATAGAGTAAAGTCGTGGTCAAAAATATATGTTCAAATTTCTCAGTCATTATCAGGAGAACCTACAGAGAAAGAGCTTACTCATAGTCAAAGATTGGTAGAAAAAACACTGTACTAAAGTAAGAGTACTTAAAAATACCATATTTTCTGGGCTGTTAGGCGCGCTCTTAAGCCTCCAACAGCATCAAAAAAACAACTGTGCGCCCCACAATCCAGAGCGCCCTATACAAGAATCCACTCGAGTGTCCCAGCACGACTTCAGTAAACTACAAAGCCACAACACGCACAGAACACGCAAACACACACGGAGCAGACAGCGACCGTACAGTGAAAAACACCCACAGACACACTCATCACTCCACGCCGACGAGGAACGGAACGGAGGAACGAACCGAAAATCCACTTGGGTGTCCCAGCACGACTTCAGTAAACTACAAAGCCGCACCAACCGCAGCGCACGCAAACACACACGGAGCAGACAGCGACCGCACTCATCACTCCACGCCGACGAGGAAAGAAATGGAGGAACGAACAGAAAAAGCGAGCGCAATGTGCCACTTCTGGACACAACTGAACAACTGAGTCACTGCGAACACGCCGACAATCCGTTGGTCCCAGACAGCACCTTCCCTACACGCCACAACTAGACAAAGACCAGAGTCACTGTGAACGCCACAAACAAACAAAACCACTCACCCATCCAACTGTTGTGTTTCATTTAAAGTCCAGTGCAGTTTATTTGTGATAAGAGTTTAAAAATAGACCATTTAATGACAGTGCGTCTTATAATCCAAAGCGCCTAATAGTGAGGAAAATACAGTAATTTGACTAAAGCGGAAGTACAAAGAAGTCTAAGAATAAAAAGTTTGAGTGCTTCATAATACAATTAATCTGGTATTTTCAACAGATTCGACTAGGGGTGTGCACAAATATTGAAATATCGATATATTGCGTAGTTTAATTTGATGATTCAGTGTCCATATCATGGGCTGCTGTATCGATATATCACCAAGAGTATTTTTTGTATATTTTACTAAATAATTTTGTTACAGCTACAGTTTTGTTGCTTGTTTAGTGGAAAGAAACTCCTCACATTTGACATTTTTACTGTTTTGATGATTAAAATGTTTGTGTTTCATATTCACTTTGCACAAGAAGTGGTTTAACAAAGACTTTTAGTGTCAGAGCCATGATTAAGCCTTTATTTTTATTGAACCGTATTGAATCGATTTGAAAGTGCTCTGTATCGAGATATGTATCGTATCATGGTCTATGTATCGAGGTATGTATCGTAAACTTCTTAATGAAGCCCTAGATCAGTGATTCTTAACCATGGGGCCTGGATCCAAAGTAGAGCTGGGACCACCTCCTTGGGGGCCCAACAATCAGTACAATATAATGCATTTAATATGAGATAGGGCCCCAGGTTATTTGCCAGGTTAAAAGTCAAGTTCCAAGGTTGCAAAGTTTAAGAACTCCTGCCCTAGATAAAGATCAAAAACATTTATATTTGTAATGGCGTAACGAAATATTAAAGGTCCAATATTATGCAAAATTGACTTTTGCAAGGCTTTAAATTGTGTAATAATATTGTTACCTCATCGACATGCCCGGAGTTGTGTTCTGTTTAATTCACACATGTTTGAGTAATCCTTTCATTTTAGTCTTTCTACATGTCCAAAGCTCAAAATGTTCCACCTTTTGATGTCATGAAGCTGTAGTTTTCCAGTTAACACCTACTTTTTTCAATTTTGTTTAGCAGAGACTGGGCAATTCCAGGTCTGAAATCATCCATATTATTCTAGTGAGAGAAGAACTCAGCCCAAATGTGCAGGATTTACGGTGTTAAATGTGTGAATGAAACAAAACCCAACTCCAGAAACAACATTCTAACAGCTCAGAAGATCGTGTAAAATGGGCCCGTTAACAAATCTCGGAAAGGTTTTTCATCTCTCCAACATAAATCGCGAAATGTTTGGCCAATATCTAGAATGACTTTGTAGACTGTATCTTCTAAGCCTGAGCAGGAGGCTGGATATACGACGATAATAAAACGCGTTTGCAGTTCTTATGCATAAAGTGAAATCCATTTAATCCAACGGTTATTCTTATGTCACTCTCAGCTCATGTTTTATGCAGAGCTGAGGGGAATTACGCTGGTTTAAGAAAGACAGTCGTATATTCAAGAAGCAATAACGCATTTAAATGTGTAGGAAAACAAATTGATGCGTTTTGATGCTCTGCGGTGACATCGTGCCGGGCTTTTTCTACGTGTAACTCTATGGTGGAATGTTCAGCAGTAACACGCACATTACAGTCAAGAAAAGGTTTAAGATTGTCTGAAAACTGGGGCTGGGTATCATTAAGAAGCTGCCGATACGATACCTCGATACATAGGCCACAATATGATACATATCTCAATACAGTGCACTTTTGGTTAGATATGATATATTTCAAATCGATTCGATACGGTTCAATAAAAAATAATGGCTAAAAAATGATGGCTGTGACATTAAAAATCTTTAGGCACCATCCACACTAGTACGTATTTGAGTGGTTTTCGTTGTGGATGCAGTGTTTGCCCACACTAATCCGATGGAAAACGGCTCCAGAGACAGAAAGATCTTTTGCCGCCGGCTCCCACGAATTCATCTGAGTACAGATGTGATCCGGCACACTGTGTTGACACCTGAAAACGCTGATGTAGGTCTATGCGCCGCGAAGTAATTCACCGCCAAAACGCTAAGAGGCTAGAATATATGTCCATTCATAAATACGGACTGTGTGTACGACCTGCAGACGTATAATCTCTGAAAAGTTCAACATGAATCATCTCCAACGTGACAGAAACACAGAACAGACTCACCATCAGCAGAACACCCCTGTGTCACAGAAAGAACACTCATATTCCACTGAGTCGTGTCCTTTAGTCCGACAGAAGCTGAACCGCAACAGCGTACAAAAGCGAGCTGTTTTTTGAGCGCTCAGTTTATGTAAATGAGTCATGTGGTTTTAAGTTTTGTTTCTGTAAAACGTAAACAAATATGCTCAAAGCTGTGTGGACAGGGAAGGCTTACGGACACAGAAATGACGTGTCTGGACGCAAATCGTTTCTGATACGGTGACTCGTTTCAGTGTAGACGTAGTCTTTGTTAAACCACTTCCTGTGCAAAGTTCAAATAAAACACGCCCATTTTAATCATCAAAACAGTCAAAATGTCAACAAGTTTTCTTCCTCTAAACAAGCAACAAAACTGTAGCGCTGTAACAAAATCTAGTAACATATAACAAAAAATACTCGATACAGAAGTAGGGTTGGGTGGTAATACAGTATTATGGTATCCTGCTGTATCAAAAAGTAGCAACGGTATCAGTTTCATTACTGTCATTAAAAAAATCTGCAGCGCATAAGGACCTACCTTATAATTTATTGATACCTAAATTTGTTTGCTCAGCACAAATGAATGTGTGGTTGTATTTTCAATTTAATGCAATCACGATTTAAAACTAATAGTTTTTAAACACTTTGCCCCGGTTGAAACGCGTTGGCGTCCCTTCATGCAATAAAGAACTTTTAATATATTCAGTCGGAGTGCCTCGGGTTTGTACATTGCCCACTTTTACATTTTCCAGTAAGGGTAACTTTCTGTTTAAAGACTAGTGTTTTAACTCTCGTAGATCACCTGTACTGGTATGTTTTAGTCTTTTATGACCCAGTGAAGCGCTCTACCTCTTTTTCTTCATCTTATAACTAATAGTATCTATAATGTTTCATTTAACTGCGTGGGGAGATGACGTTTGATTAGTTTCGTTCCGTTGTCACGTGACGCTCATAAGGGACGACCAAGACAAGACAGCAAGTCGAGTGTGTGTGTTTTTTCTCATCGTGTACATTGTGGTTATGGTTGTTAGTCTGTTTGTATTCTCACTGCCTTTAACTCAACTGTTATGTACAACTGCACTTTTCTGTATGGTTTTTATTGTTGTATTTTTAGGGTGACCGTGTTTACCATCTGTCCAGGGACTACAGATGAAAAATAGCCTCTCTGGCTGATTCTGGTACATTCACAGAAATGTTGATTAATGTACACTGTTCCTGTTAAAGAAATCAAATAAATAAAAGAAAATAAAGTGGGGACACAAGGGAGATGGTCCCCCCCAAAAACATACTAGTGCTTCTACAATTTGACAGCATTTTGGCTTCAGGCGCATATTAGTTTACGGTTTACAAAAACAACACTTAAAACCACATGGCTCATTTGCATAAACTATAAGAGCTGATAAAAACAGCTCTTTCCTTGTGCGTTGATGTGGTTCAGCTTCCGTCGGACTAAAGGACACGACTGTGAACAACCTTCCTCTTCCTGTCAGATCCTCTCAGTCTGTAACGCAGTTTAAGACGAGACTGAAAACTCACCTCTTCTCCCTGGCATTTAGTACGAGCTAGTCCGGTTATCTTGGTGTTTTTATTGTAGTTTTCACATGTTTTCTGTATATATGTATATGCAACTTTCTTCTATTTTGTTGACTTGTATGTGAAGCACTTTGGTCAGCTGAAGTTGTTTTAAATGTGCTATATAAATAAACTTGATTGAATTGAATTGAATTGACAGAGGGGTGTTCTGCTGATGGTGAGTCTGTTCTGTGCTTCTATCGCGTTGGAGATGGTTCATGTGAAACTTTTCAGAGATTATAAATCTTCAGGTCATATGCATAGACTGCATAATGGTGTGGCTTCGTAGTTTACCAAAGTCGTACTGAAACATTTTGGTAATACGGTAATACCCTATACCCTGGTAAAATCCTGAGAAGGTTTAACAGAATCAAAATTTGGATACCGCCTTAAACTATACAATATATCAATGTTTCAATAACTTGCACAGCTCTAATGAAAACTCAAGAAAAAATCAATTTACACAGCACATTTCCAGGAGCCTGTGATCAAAACG